AAACTGTCAAGATATCATTCCTTCCCAACATGATACGTGATTCAGTGAAAGCTCAAAGAAAATCCCAATAAGATTTTCTTGGATAACAACGAACTCATTCCAAAGATTATACAGAGAGACAAAAGACCCAGAATAGCTAACACAATATTAAAGGAAAACAATAAACTTGGAAGACTGATGCTACCCTATTTCAAGACTTACTATAAAGCTTCAGCAGTCAAGAGAGTGTGATATTGGTGAAAGAATAGACAAATAGATCAATGGAACAGAATAAAAGTCCAGAGTAGACCACCCAATATATTTAACCTTTGTTTCTTTGACAAAGAAGCAAAGACAATACAATGGAGAGAAGACAGCTTTTTCAACAAATGGTGCTGAAACAATTAGACATTGACATGATAAAAAATAATAATCTAGACACAAACTTTGCATGATTCACAAAACAACTCAAAACAGATTATAGACCTAAACAGAAAATGATAAAATGCCTAAAAGATAACATATCTGAAAAATCTAGTTTATCTTAGGTTTAGATTTTAAATAAACATCAAAGGAATCATCAATAAAATAAAAATTAATATGTTGGACTTCATTAAAACTAAAACCCTCTGCTCTGTGAAAGAAACTGTCAAGAGAATGAAAAGACAAACCACAAACAGAGAGAAAATATTTTCAAAAAAGAGATGTAATAAAGAACTGTTATTCACAATATAGAAAGAACTCTTAAAACTCAATAGTAAGAAAATGAACAACCTGATTAAAAACCTGAGCAAAAGTTCTGAACACACAACTTACCAAAGAAGATAAACATGTGCACATTGCTCAACATCATATAATATTAGGAACTTGCAAATTAAGACAACGGTAACATAGGTAAGATACAACTACTACACGTTTAATATAATGGTCAAACTCTAAACCAATACAACAGCAAATGTTGGCAAGGATATAAAGCAACAAGGACTCTCATTCATTACTGATGGGAATGCAAAATGGTGCAGCCACCTTGGAAGCCACTTGGGCAGTGTCTTACAAAACTAGACATATTCTTACCATATAATCCAACAATCTTATTTCTTTCTATATACCCAAATGGGTTGAAAGTTTTGCATCTACACAGAAAACTGTACAAATATGTTTACAGCAGCCTTATTCATAATTGCCCAAACTTGAAAGCAATAAAGATGTCCTTCAGTAAGTGAATGGATAAACTTTGGTATATCCATACAGTGAATTTTATTTAGTGCTAAAATAAAATGAACTTTCAAGCCATGAAAAAAAAAAATCTGTTTTTTAAGCCATGAAAAAAAATGGAGCATATTACTAAGTCAAAGAATCCAATCAGAAAAAGCTACATACTGTATGATTCCAACTGTATGACACTTGAAAAGGCAAAACTATGGAGACAGTAAAAATATTAGGGAAGTCAGAGCCTGGGGTGAGGGGCAGTGAGAAAGAAGCATGAATAATCAGATCCCAGAGGATTTTGAGGGCAGTGACACTAATTTGTATTATACTATAACGGTGAATATATGTTCAGTATATATTTGGCAAAACCCATAAAGTGTACACCAAGGATGAATCCTAATATGAACCATGTACTGTAGGTGCTAATATATATACATGTAGGTTCGTTGAATGTTAAAAAAAATGTACTGCTCTGATGAGGAATGTTGATAGGGAGGCTGTGAGTATGGGGAGAAGGTAGAGTTATACGGGAACTCTCTGTATTTTCTGTTCAATTTTGTTATACACCTTAATGTTTTTTTTAAAAAAACATAGTCTATTAAAAATGTCACGGGTCATTAAAAACTCCACCATGAGACTGCAAGTATCTATTCATTTCTTGCCAACTAGATTTGAGAATACAGCCAGCAATGAAAATATGAATTTACATTAAGTCAAAGGATAAAGTAGAATTTTAAATCCAGCTGCCATTACTCACATTATTTATTTATAGGCTATTGTATAATTGCAGAATTGTGCTGAATAAACACAAATATATTCTCTTTATTGAAGAACTTACAATCCAAAGATCAAATGAAAATTTAGAAACAACCTTATTTGCTCAGGAACATCAAACTAAGCATTCTAATAGAAGAAGTTAATTCCAAAAGACTTCTTATGTGGACAAGATTTTTTGTCCCATATTTATAATTCTTGCACCTACTTACATATTGAGTAAAACCATACTGTTCTCACTTTGGTCTAAGTGTTGGCCTGTATGGCTTCTTTTCAATTGGTAAATTATAATGGCTCTGTATTTAATGAGTCTAACAATATTAAACAAATGGCATTCAATTACACTCCAAACAGTAAATTGCTTTAATTTGGGAAGAAGAATTCCTGGAGTCTCGCTGAACAGTTATCAGTCATTCAGAATTGCTCACCGTAATATAAAAAGTTTTGTGCTTAAAAAATTCAGAAACAGCAGCATTATACAGTTGGAGAGCTCACTTATTCTTCTTCTGGGCATTTACATTTGTCTTATGTGTTCCTATAACTAGTTCTTGGTTGCTTTAGTTTCCCTCTTTTCTTTTTCTGTTTGGGCTAGGTAAGTAGTTTCCCCTAATGTAATTTAAAGCTTAATACATAAATTAAACTCACTTTCCTCTTGAAGATTTTCTGTGGCTTTCTCATTGGAGAAGACAGCTCCACACTCTGGAGCCATAGAATATTATGAGCACACCGAAACTTTTGGACCAGCACTCTCCCTTACCACTTTCCCTTCTAACAGTACTGAGCCACTTCAAAGTTGCCCCAAAGCACCAGCGTTTTATTCCTCTCTGCAGTTGCGCATACTCCTTTTTCCACTTGCAATGTTCTATCCTCCCTCTGCTTGGCTTAATCCCTTGTCAGTTTTGAAAACGGGTCTGTGTGTTCCCTTCACCGGGAAACTCATCTTCGGGGCTTCAAAAGGCTTAAACACTCCACGTGCTTCAACCCAGGAGCTTACTCAGATACCATGTATATTTCAAATAATGTTTCTGATTCATGGTGCCATACTGTAAATTATTATTTTAAAAGATGTCCCCCTTTGAGTGATAGGATTTGTGTCTGACTAGATGCTACGTTTTGTTCATCTTTGTACTCCCATCCCCTCACACATTGCCTGCCCTATAACAATTGCCTAAGAAATAATTAGTTTAATGAAATGATACTTATTACTCTATCCCTGACACAGAGTGGTGTTTTACTTATAATCTAAAATATAGTTGTCTACTGTTTACAAATCAAAGTTTATCCTTGATAAATTAGCATCCTCACCACGCATCCCTATCCCACCCGACCCCTGCCCTCAGCCCCCGAACTCTTAACTTGAATAAGAAGCTGTTTTATTCCGGCAGTTTTTGCCAGAATAAAAGTGAGTCTAACAGAAGTCAGTCCAACGGAAATGCATTAATGCAGGCTGGATTTGCCTAGACATCAATAAACTCGAAATGCTCCCTGCGGGGCACTTGTAGTGTCAATAAAGGTTCGTAATTACTTGCTCCTTGGAGCATTTTTATACTCGACCCCGTTCGCTGTGCTGCGAGGAGGAAACTCAAGATCTCACAAGTTCTTAACTTCCTAAACTCTAGAGGAAGTATGGTAAACACTGGAGGGAACTTCAGGTTTTTAAGCAAAGATGCTGGTAGTTTTCGTTGCTATTTTAAGCTGTCAGGCGACAAGCAACTCAGAATTCCCCTTCTTACTTCCGGCGGGAGGGAAGATTGGAATTGGGCCTCATCACTTCTGAGCATGAAAGACCGCTGAAGCTACCGTTCAACCTGAAGGAACAAGGAATTCAACTGGAGAGAAACTCTGGCGACCAGGGAGCTGGGGACGGGCGCATATAGATGAGGGAAATCCTGGTTCCAATACCTTGTCTCATGCTAGAGGTGCCTCCCGACCTACCAGACCACATTAAAGACCGGGACCAAGGCGTGGTACTAACAGAGTAGCAAGCTTCTCTTCCACTGACGTCAAGGACCAAAGGATGGAGGAGAGGTAGTCAGAGCGAGCGCTTGAACACAGAACTCTTGAAAAGTGTCCCTGCCACCCAGTACAAGTACGAAAAATGGTAGGACGGAGGAGAGGTGACAATCAGAGGCTGCATATGTATGTACATATAACTGAGACTTTTGGAGAGGACTTTGTTCTTCCTTCCTCCCCCCCCCTTTTCTTTCCTTTCCTTCTTTCTTTCCTTCGTTTCTTGGTATCCGAATGTGTGTGGGTGTATTTGCGTTTAAAAGAGAGGTCCGTGGTAGCTGCTTTTTTTTTCAGAACCCTGTTTCTCTGCAATGAAGTTTAAGCGGGACTGGAGTTTCCTTGACTTGTGCGTGAGGAGTTTCCAAATGAGAATTAAAGGGAGGAGCATAAATATCCATGAAGTTCCTAATGACACCTCTATCATCACTTGTTTCCTTCAGAATGCTGAGCCAGGGTCGTCGTCCACCACCCATGCAGAGTGGGCTGATCGCCTAACAGGTTCATACGTATCTTTCCAGATTGAGCTGTTGGTGGAATAATAAAAGTCTTCTTCCTTCCAACGCCATCCCCACCCCGGCACCCCGTTTCACTCCACCTCGGAGGGCTGGTTTTTGCGTGTGAGGGTGTGTGTTTAGCAAAAGCGATTGAAAGAAGGTACTCCTCTTGCAATCCACCCCTAGCTCTACCCGAAGCATTCCTCGGGCGGGACGCTTTTGTAATCTGTCCCCAGGCGAGGTGCCCTCTCACCTAGATGCGGACAGACTATCTTGGAGCCCCCAGGTCCAGAGAGCTGATGCTTTGATGTCCCAGGAGAGTGTGTGTGGCTCTGTGTGTACGTGTGTGTGCGTATGTATGTATGTATATGTGTATGTGCGTGAGCTCGCAGGCGCGTAGCACTGTGAGCTTCCTCTCCCGGCACAGAGCAGGCAGAGCCGGGGACGTTACTCTCCAAGCAGCCTCCGCCCCCTTAGCCCGGTGATTGGCTTTGCGCAGCGTTTATCTCCTAGCAAGAGGGAAGGGCCAGTGACGCCCCCGAACCCAGCTGCAGAAGCTGCCGCCACCTCCAATGCACAAGGTGTCTCATCTGAAAAGAAACCTGAGCCCCAGGGAGGAGGCGCTGAGCGACCCTGGCAGAGCTGGCGCGAACGGGGCGAGAGGTCGCTGGGCAGCGCTGGAGGACAAGAGGGAGCTCGGCCACAGAAGACCCCAGCGATCTGATCCTGGGATCCCGGCTCCAAGCTCTCCTCGCATTTTACAGATTTCAACCCCGCGACTATCTCCCCAAAACGGAGTCTTTATATCAAGAGAAGGTGCCGGAGCTGGGGCAACCAGGACTTTCCCGGGCACCCAAGATGCGTTCCATTAGGAAGAGGTGGACGATCTGCACAATAAGTCTGCTCCTGATCTTTTATAAGACAAAAGAAATAGCAAGAACTGAGGAGCACCAGGAGACGCAACTCATCGGGTAAATGCAAAGCTTCATTTCAGGATATGACAAAAAGTCAAGCCATAAATGAAATGTGAATATAGAAGGTAGAGTGGTGGTTAGGATAGCATGTGTGTGTGTTTGAACTTGCGTGTGGTTAGTGTCATGAATTAAATAACAAAGGCTGTTGTTGAGATGTGCGTGCTTCTCTAAGCTGTTCCCAGTATGAGTTCAACTTGCTCTGTGCGGTTGTGGTGACAGTTGTGTTGGCCCTGGGTGCTCTCACGCCAAAGGAGAAGTCACTGCAGAAGTGTCAACAAAGAACGTGTGCCCTTGTCCTTTTAATCTGTGGACAGAGAGAGATGTCTTTATTCTCCAAACGGTTGCCTGTTTTATCTGTCCTATCACCTAAGGAGATACTGGAGATAGATGGTTTCTTGAAGGGCTGAAGGTAAAGCTTAGAAAGCAGGAAATAGGTATACTCTGTTTCTCTATTTTTTTTTTTTCTTTTTGACGTTGGATAGATTAATGTATTATAATTTGCGTTAGAAACTCCAGTACCACCAAGGATACTTCCTTATTTGTTCTTCTACGGGTAAAACGCATGGGCGTCATGGTTACAGTTTTAGAAAGAAACTGGGTACTGTAGCTTCACAGAGACTATATTTCTGCTATTTTTTTTTTTTTAGTTTGTCTAGATGAGTTCAGACTCTCCCCCGCCCCATTAAGTTCTCTAAATATCACACTTCCTTCCACCCGCTGGCCTCTGTGTCTTTGAAGTTTACCCAGGAGGTGGTGCAACTTTGTGTTGCTGACATAGCCTGGAAGCCTTTTTCTGAGGATGTGAACCTGATTGTCAACTCTATTCAAAGTCCTGTTTCGGAAGTCCTCCCTGTTCCGGTTTGGAGGCGTCCTCTATCAGAAACTACACACCAGCAGAGATGCCTGCCCAGTTTATATTTTTATCTGACATTGATTAAAACAAAGAAAACAGTCCTTGCGCGTGTGTGTCTGTGTGTGTGTTTGTGTGTGTGTGTGTGTGTGATGGGACTGCTAACACACACACATGCTCTTAAACTTCCTGCACTCCATTTCTTGATATTCCTGCTCCCTAGGTAATAAGCATTTATTTAAATGAGCAAGATGCAGGTTTATTCTTACAGAAGGACTTGCTATTCTGTAGAAAACCAGGATAACAGTAGCACAGTCAATGAGGACTGGAAGAGAATGAAAAAGCTAGCAAGGAATGGACTGGAATGGTCGTTATGCATCAACGAATCTAAACATAGTCTATTCTGAGGGGGTAAAAGAGACCGGTATGAGATCGTTTACACAAGACTGGGTGGCTTGAATATCCAATCTGGCTCAATTGTTAGAAAAACAGGACTTTGGGCAGGGGCGTGGGCATCCCTTGCAGACCTGTGCTTGCCAGACAGACAAAGAGGTCTTTAGAAAGGTGATGAATGGGCGCGTGGGGCTCCGATGAGAGGCAGAGGCTAGAGCGTGAGGGTCGAGGCTCTTTGTTCCCTCCCGGGCGGTGGGCTAGGAAGATAAGCCTGATCTCAGACAAAGCGGCCAAGGCTCACTAGGGCTCCGAGGGTTCGGGCCCTTGGCTCGGACCCTGGAGAGCAGAAGTGGGCGGGGCGAGTGAGGAGAGGGTCGCCAGATACTGCCGAGGTGTCAGTCTCCGAGCCTCCCTAAGCCGTGGCCAGGAAAAGGAGCGCGCCTCGAATCCCTGCGAGGGGAGTGGAGCCGGGACACTCCACATTGCACGGGTGTCATTTCTCCTGTGGCCTTTCCTGGACGTCGCCGGCTGGTGGAAGCAGCCCTAGGCGTTAAGGCAGAGGAGGCGGGCACAGGCGCGGCAGTTGAGCTAGCCGGGCTAGGCTTTTGCCCGCATCCTTTTCAAGCTGAGGCAGTTTCCTCCCAGCTTGGCTGAGAAGGCGTTGGGGCAGGCGCTTGAGTTAACCAAACAGGAAGAGAGGCGCGCACCGGGGCTATCCCCCTGCTCCCAGAGCGCTGGCGGCGAGGGGGAAAGAATGAGTGAGAAGACAGGGGCAAGCCTTTATTTCAGGACTCAGGCCCCTTTCGTCCCTCCCCGCCCCCCCCCTCTCCCCCCACTCACACACACACCAAAGTCACTTTCAACGCTCAGTTGGCAAGTGGCTCCTCCTTCTTAATTAAAACCCGCAATGGCAGTCTGGTGGGGCGCGGCGGAGGGCTGACCGCAAACATCGCGCTTACACCCGTGCCCTGTAGCGTCCTGGCTGCTTTGGCTCTTCCTGAGAGACCGAGACTGTGGATGGAGTTGGAGCTCCAGGAACAATGCGAGGACATCTAGGCTCCCTGAGCACTGTTTTCTTTTTCTCCAGGATGAAAGGTTCAGTGGAAAAGCTTGTGACTCGAGCTCGTTATTTCGTTTCAACTCCTAAATAGCGCTTCTGGTAGAGGAGTTGACTCATGAAACGATCTAATCATCTCATTGACTCTCTTTCTACCCAAGCCACGTGGAGAGGCCAGTTTTGAGTAAACTGGAATGGAGGTTCGACTCCAGATCCCGGTCCAGTATTCAAGTGAGGCAACCAAGGCAGTCTCTGGCCTTTGGGGGGCACTGCGAGCCTTGTGGCTTGGCAGCAGTTTCAAAGAAGGGCCTTCCGTAGTCCTTGAATCTTGCGTCACCACCCCAGATTCATATTTAGCTTTTCTGCTACCATTTTTGCCATACACAGGCAGTTCCTTTATCCTTTCGACCCTTCCCCCCCAACTGAAGGTCCCATCTACAGTTACTATAGTCCCATCATTCCACGCAGACGGAAAAATAGAGAACCAGCACAACCTTCTCACCAACCATCCACACTCTCATATCTCCAAAGGAATACCTGTGGCATGTTTTTTTTTGTTTTGTTTTGTTTTTAAATATATATAAAAGGAATTGTTCCAGCATAGGTCAAGTAATGATTATTGAACATCTAAAATTCATGTTTCCTTCCACGAAAGCCTATTAGTTAATAAAGTTTAAGTCAAAGAGCAGTGAAGGCATTAAGTGGTGTGTTCTTGATTAACTTTTCTTTCTTAATAGACCTCACAGTTGGCTTATGACTTAACTAGCTCTTTGTGCTCTTTTGGGTATGATTGGAAATGTGTTAATGTAAGGCTCCCACAGGTAAAATATGTAAGCATCCTCATTTAATGAGATAATATATTTGAAAGTGTAACATAGACTTTAATGTGATATAAATATTTGTTTCGTTAGTCCTTAAATCTTGCTACACACTTGCTACACACTACTTTTCTGGTTGACTACAAATGAGACTAACTTACTTTTCTTATTATCCAGAAATCTCCCTTATAATTTGAGTATGTACTTTAGGTTGTGTTACTAAGTAATCAACAATATTAGTTCTGAAACCTATGATAAAATTGAAAGTGGAAATAAGTATTTTTACTTAGAGTATTACCATTGACAGCAAAGTTAGTTCCAGTTTGTTCTAGGTTGAAACACAACCTCGTGAAATCTAGAATTTGCACTTTACTTCACATTTCACATTTCACAATTCTAATAAAACTCATAAGCAATAAATTAAGGTAGAACCTATCATCTTTATTTTTAGTTGTTTGACACTTAGGTAATGAAAATACAAAATGGCCTGCTGTGTGTGTTCAGGCTTAGTTTCATGCAAATTATTTTCTTAAAATTTTTATATTAAAGAGGAAGTTTAACCTAGTCCAAAGGGAACAAATACATTCAAAAGCCAAGTCATGAAGAGTTTCAGTGGGGTGGAATACGGGGCTTTTGAGACCTAATGCCATGAAGTGAAATTAATCATATGTCTTACGTACTGCAAATCTATTAGAGTAACTTGTGGTGAAGCCTGGAAATATTTGTAGATACTAGGTTGCGTAAAAAGTGATTAATTCCTGCCACTGGTATCACATGGATGATTATCTTAGTGAATTTTTCTTTGCTCCATGTAAACAGGGATCCTTTGTATTATATTGATTTGTGCAGAGTGATTTCTTTGATGTGTTTTGCTCTTTTCCTTGTAAAAGTACGTATTGAATCTTCTTGTAGATGATCCTATGCAATAAATGTTTTCAGTGCAGCTGTTCAAAAGTCATGTCTGATCTGGAATGAGAAATAAATAGGGGGTGGCAACATCCTTCGAGCTTCGCATTCATGGGAAGGAAGAGCCTTTTCTGAGACAGAATGCTACCAAGGTCATGAGTGAAACATCCCATGGGACCCATTTAACTTTATACAGAGGAATTTACTCTAGAGCTTCAGATTGTACTAAGTGGCCTTCTCCCACACTGAGTATAAGAAGTGTGACTAGTTGCAGATATTTTCATTCAAAATTCTTTCCAGTGATAAAAGTCTGAAATTTGGCTTATCACCAGCTCAATGAAAGAAATTCAAACAGCAGAGTAAGATGGTAGCATTTTATTCCTAGAACACTGATTTAAACTTTTTAAATCTTGGATATTCTGAAAAGGTTTGGAACAACTGAAAACATCATAGCAAACATTCTGCCATGTAAAAATGTATCTGTATTTACATGTCAATGAAGCAATCATCTATAGATTATCTATTTAATTAATTACTTAGTTTTTAGAGACAGGGACTTGTGATGTTACTCAGACTTGTCTCTAACTCCTAGGATCAAGTAATCCCCTCACCTCAGCCTCCTGAGTAGGCACTGCCCACCATACCCTGATTTTCCACACATTTTAAAGAGTGCAAGTCCATGTATATTTTTATTTCTCCTATGAAAGTTTATTGGTGGTGAAAATAATTATTATAATGATATCAATCTGTGGTTAGAAAAAGATGACATTGATACATCAATTAATAAGGTGATGATTAGAAATATTTCTTATCCCCAGAAATAGTGATAGTTTGTACCTGAAACCATGTAGTCATATTTCCCAAAGTGTGAATGTTAGCTTCTGTGTATAGCCACATTTTTATTCATAAGTAGTTATTATCATTAGAAATATAATATAAAAATTGACTTCTAGGCCGATGGTCAGTAAAGCACATCCCGTGTTTCCTGGCATCCTAAATGCCCCCTGTAAAGCAATAATTATTTGCCATGCACAGGCATGCAAATGTATCATTTTCATCAGTAGGATAGTTTAAGATATTAATTTTTATAGAATTCTGAATTTCACAGGGAGTAGCAGCCTATGATGCTTTGAACTGCTTCAAATTTAAACTACATGTTTAAAAAAGAATGCAAACCAAAATACCAAACTATAAGGCTTCAATTACAGAACTCATCCAATAACTGTTACACAGGCAATGTTTCCATTGATACTAGGAGAGGATTGCATAAAAAAAAAAACAAACAACAACAAAAACAAAACAAAACAAAACAAAAGCACAGATTTAGACTTTGTTATGGAGCAAATAGTCATGTTACTTTTTAACTATATTTTGACATTCTAAGAAGTAAAAGGTGATGTAAAGAAATAAATACAAATATTCAAAGGGCTACGGTTACTATTGGTATCCCATAAGAAGTAGCTTTTTGATTTTCTGAGTCTGGGTTTACATTTATAAAGTACAAGAAAATGGTCCATTGAATAATGAATTTATTCAGTTATAAATGTTCTAATGGCATGCATACTATTATAGGTATCTGCCAGCATCATCACTCCCACCGCCATCTCAGCTAGTATCATGCCCCATGATATACTAGCTTGACACTATTGGTTGCAGAGAGGTAGTCTATTTTTTTTTTTTTTTAATGTAAGAGAAAATGCCAGTAACAATGGCTACTGAACGAGTTTTCTGTCTGCTATCATCTCTGTCTCTCCACCAACTGTCAGGGAAGTGACTCATTGTTGAGATGTTTTGAAATCGATGCAATTTTTGAAAAATTACTTTTGCATGCAGAGCCTTGCTTGATCCTCACAAAGCCATGGTATATTAGATAAAGTTATTGTAATTTTCAAGGTAAGGTAAGACCACTATGGCTTAGAAAGAGAGTAGAGTCCAGGAACTCAAGCAAGTCATAGAGTCACAAAGATGCCCAGATCACCTGATAGTCCAAGTTATTCTTGCTTCAAAACAGAAGCCCCTTCTATTATGCATATATGCCTTCTGTAAAAATGAAATTACAGTCTTAGGAATCACAATTATACAGATGGAGGAGCACTGACAAAACATTCTGTCTCTGTTGTCTAAACAGAGCTAGTGAGTGACTAGTAGGAAACAGAGCTTATTTGTTTTATCATATTTTAATTGCCAAATAATAATTGTATATATTTATGGGATACAATGTGAAGTTTCTATACAAGTATACACTGTGTAATGATAAGATCAGGCTAGTTAGCATATCCATCACCTCAAAAGCATGTCATTTATTTGTGGTGTGAACATTTAAAATCTCCTGCAGCTACATAAAAATATACAATACAATATTATTAACTATAGTCACTGTGTTGTGCAACAGAACTTATTCCTCCTGTCTAACTGTGAAATTTTGTACCTGTTGACCAATTTCTCCCCATTCCCCACTCCTTCTTCCCTATATTCTGTTATCTACTTCCATGAGTTCCACTGTTTTAGAATCAACATGTAAGTGATATTAAAAAATAATATGTAAGTGGTATTTGTCTCTCTGTTTTAGACTTATTCACTTCCCATAATGTCCTCTAGGTTCATTCATGTTGGCAGAAATGGCAGGATTTTGTTCTTTTTAAGGGCTGACTAGTACTCCATTGGTATATATAACCACATTTTCTTTATCTATTCCTCTGTTAATGGACACATATATTATTTCTACATTTTGGCTATTGTGAAGAATGCTGCAATGAACTTGGGACTGCAAGCATCTCTTTGACATACTGATTTCAATTCCTTTGGGTATATGCCCAGAGGAGAGATTGCTGAATTATGTAATTCTGTCTTTATATTTGGTGATTATTTTTCTTCAAGTACCATATATATCATTTTTTATTCAGAAATTGTTTAATTTCAAAAATATTACCTGTAGATTCTTGTTCTGAGAGTCATATTCACTTAATCCTCATAACACCTTTCATCATGCTTGCATATTTCCTTCTAACTTGTAGGGGAAAATGTATCTAAAATTCATCACCAGTATTAATTCAAATTGTGTACTGTGCTATATAGACAAAATGTTTCTTACTTTCACAAAGCTGGCAATTTTGTTTTGTTTCAGAGATGGTGAATTGTCTTTGAGTCGGTCACTTGTCAATAGCTCTGATAAAATCACTCGAAAGGCTGGCTCTTCAATCTTCCAGCACAATGTAGAAGGTTGGAAAATCAATTTCTCTTTGGTCCTAGAGATAAGGTGAGTTTCTTTACTAAGGCATAATAAATTTCACATCATGTCCTCAAATATGTTGGGCTTAGCAAACTTATATTAAACACCTGATTTATGGTTTAAGTATGAATACTTAAATAAAAGAATGAACCAGCTCTATTTAATGTTGCTCACTGAAGAATATGAAATCATAAAACTGAAATCATTACATAGTCAGAGATTTAAGGATGAATATGTGAGTTTTGAATATAGTGTCTTTATACGAGTGGAATACAATATTCATCAGAGTACTAATATTTAACATACTTCACTCAATTACTCAGGATGGACATATATTTTAAGAATTATCTTTAACTTCCCTATTGAGTCTTCATTCTGCTTTTGGGTTTTCTCAACTAGTTGAAAATTGAGCCTATTACACTCCTATTGTGCTGACGATTATAAATAAATTAGTCTTATCCTGTGAATGAGTATTTCTGTGTGGGCTCATGTTTTAAAAATTGGATAAAAATCAGAAAATAAGCTTTCTAGATTACTGACTTCTTTTTAAGACTAGTCATTTTAGCTGAAACCCACTCTTGAAATCATACTCCATGCCTACATTTATCCAGTATGTAATTTTCTTCTGATATAAACCTGTTACTAATAGGTAAGAGGTAGGGTCACACCTTCTCAATTATGGAGGAAACAGGAAGATTGTTTTTTCTCTATAGTTACATTGCATTACTATATTGGTTGGTACATTTGAATTAAAGCATTTCAGTAAATAAGAACTCACTAAAAGTGTGAAAGAACACATTTGTTATATAATAAAATAATCTCAAAGTCAATGATAGCATTAACACACAGATTTTATAGGTGTAGCTTAGTGACTAAGATATAAGGGGCTGATTAATTTTCGTGGGTTTCTACCTACTCATTTCTTGGATTATACCCACCTTTAGTGTAGATTATAAGAAACTTGAAGGAGGAGTCTACTAGTCTATTACACTCATCTTTAGAGTATGCACAGAAATTTCACACAATGTTTTGGAGCAAAGATAATTACAGCATGTTGAAATTTACTTGAACTTATGTCTGGAAATTTTAAAAATATGGGCATCAGGGAGATGCAGGAATAGTATTACTACTTTAGTTTAAAGGTTTGAAATTGACTGGAAAGGGAAACAGGAATCAAATCATGGCAATGTCAAGTGGTGTATATTTGTTTGCTTTTAGTTTGGTGGGAGCTTTCTATATTCATGTGCCTCCTACAAGAATGAATAGATAAGTAGAATCTGATGATAGAGCTCATAAATCAATGACTTCTGGGTAAAATATGGCCAGCAAGCAAAATTTATTTCCACTGGATAAAGAAAAAAGAAACCTTAAAGCCAAGATTAAAAGCCAGGAGGTTTTTTAATAAAAGTACAGATTTCCATAAACTCTTGAGAAATGGAAAGATTTGAAAACTCTGAATCTGTACTCTTCCTAACATTTAGCTGGTTAAAGCTGACCCTAGCCATGGTCTCTCAAGTCTGACATTTTCATACTTGGAGCTCACATCTTTCATGATACCTATCAAGTGCATTCTTCTCTGTCTCATATCCCCATCCTCATATTTGAATTTAGAAACCCTGTGAGAGATGAGATAATTATGAGGAAAAAGCCACAAGATGTGAGACGATGTGGGGTTACAAACACAGATATATTTTGGTTTAGAATGGTGTGAAGGTTCATGTTTCTTGAAGGTACATTGGAAAAAGAGATAGATAGGTGATTAAATAGCAAAAATTTTATCTGTAAGCAGAAAAATAACTTTCAAATTGGATGAGTTAGCAAGAAAGGGGCCAAATAAGGCTACAGAGATCTGGTAAAGAAACCTGATGGAAGAAAGTAAAATAAAATATTGTAATAGTTTAACTAGCATATCTAGCCATGCTAAATAATGTGTCAGATAACAAAAAATCTATTAAGTAAACTAAATAAGTAATTGGCACTAGTTCAATTATTATATCTGGTAATGCCTTTCCTAATAGCTATATAAAAATCAAATACTATAAATATGCATGAGGCTTTATACATTTTGCTATTAATAACATATTCAAGTGGAGGGTAATAAACCTAAGTTGACCCAGAAGATTCATATTACAACTTTACAAACCAATGAGCATTGCATTCAGGTATTTGAGGATGATCTATTTTCAATTATAATAGCTGAAAATATGAATGAAATGTTAGTACTGTATTTGTGTGGTTCTCCTTAACAGATTAAATAAATAAACAATAAAACAATGAACAAATGTTGAATAATACATACAAGGTTGTCACTTCCTTGAAAGGAAAGGATAATTTGAAAAACCATTATTGTACAATGTACAAAGAGTTCATAAAAATTAGAATTGGCTATAGCAGAAATGACTAGTGAGTATTAATCAGTTTGACACCTGTAATAAAAAATTTAGAATATGAAAGTATCTGACTGTTGGCTTAGCTTTTGCAAATATTTTTAAAAGACATATTGGAAACTAATTATGGACCATTTATTACTATTATTATTATTATTTTCTTTCTTCCTCACCTTTCTGGCATTTAAGAATTTCCATATCACTTTGGGTCAGTGATTGGCTGTGGGTAAATTTTAAAAATGTTTTCAAAATTCTACTTTTAAATTTTTGTTTATTTTAATTTATTTTCTATTTTACTTTAAGTTCCAGGATGTGTGCAGAACATGCAGGTTTGTTACATAGGTATATATGTGCCATGGTGGTTTGCTGCACCTATCAACCCATCATCTACGTTTTAAACCCTGCATGCATAAAGTATTTGTCCCAATGCTCTCCCTCCCCTTGTCCATTGCCTTACGACAGGCCCAGGTGTGTGATGGTCCCCTCCCTGTGTCCATGTGTTCTCATTGTTCAACTCCCACTTATGAGTGAGAACATAAAGACGTTATTTCCAACCAATTTTTATCTTGCGTGATTCAACTATGATTATAAATCTTTCAAATTTAAAAATCTTATTAAACTTATAATACTTTTATTATATTCCTAATTTTGTCCACATATTAAAATGTGAAAATAGTTCCTGAGATATATTTTTTTACATTTGTAGATATGATTTTCATCCCTATTACTAGCCCCTTCATTCCCATATGCCTTATATTATTTTCATAAGCACACCAAGAATTGCTTCCTATGTATTCATCAAACAACTGTACTTCTATGGAGTTGTCTATGAGAGATGGTTCCATGTGTTACTTCATTGTACTTTGAGGATTCAAAATATATGGAGTTTATGCATTCTACAGCTAACTTTGCACTCAAAATAATTATCTTAGTTTTAAGGCTTGATATTATTGATAAAAGTTTGTTCTTTATTATTACAAGCTAAGAAATGACATATTTAAGATCCATTAGATGTTGTGAATAAATCTGTGAACATCGTACTGAGAGATTATACAGTCAGGTCCAATACTTGCAACTTGACTTGTTTTCCATATTTGGATTATTTATTTTCTTTTTTTGTTGTTGTTTTTTATATGTTGACTAGAAACCTCAAACAGTGCAAACATGAATTATAGATGTATAGAAACGTACAAATGTACACATCAGGACAGCTTTATCACATCAAAATTAGGAAACAATATTTCAGCTCTTAGTGTCATGATATATCAATGATCTGAAATACATAAAACTTGCAGGTTAACTAAACATAATTGCAAATTTATAGATGCTTAACTGACAAGAAAAATTTTCTTTTGCATACATAGATGTACTTTACAAAAAGGTATACATACAATGTGCATACCATCTTCCACTGGCTTTGATCAATAAGTTACCAGTAGAGTTAATCTCGGGTCACAAAGCTTATTAGTGGCAGTGTCAAGACTCAAACCCAGACCTCCTGACTGAGGAACCAGGACCTTATAAATATTTTTTTTGTTAATAATATATTTTAGTACCCAAATGTATATTATTAAAATTTATCATTATGGAATAAATGATTCTCTTTGCTCTAAAATAACACAAGATATTTTTCATTCAACATTACCAAATGCTGGGCCAAATATCAAACGCCAGTCTAGGGTGTAAATTAAACTAAAAAAGCTCTTCATCAAGTATTGTGGGACAATTTTGCCTTTTCATTTGCTGTGTTTAAGATTTTTTTTTTTTTTTTGAGGGTACTAAGATGGCTTTCCCATAACTGCTAGGACTTAGAAATCCTAAACATGATACAGTTAAAGGTTTTATTTTTTCAGCGCTTTAAGGCAAGTTGCCTTGCAAAAATAATCTTTTGAAATAAACAAATAAACAAAATATGTGTGTTCTCGCTGTTTTTTTGTAGGCATAATGAAACACTTGGCATTTTTTAATTTTACTTTTTATTTTCTTTTAGTGAACTGTGTCAGTACTAACTTAATTTACAGTGATTTTTCTTGTAGTCAGTGTCTAAAGTTTGCAAAAACTGATCCCTAATGTATGTATCATAGCCTAATTTGCGTCTCAACTTGTGATACATTCCACCTATAAGATTTGTCACACAGTATTTTCTGATATAGTTAACAATGTCATTTAGATTAAATTTTAGTTGCAACTGTGTGCTTATTATTGCCAAGAAACTTACAGAGAAGAGTGGCACTTGGTGATAGCTTAGCTATATTTAACTTTTCACAAGTGAAAACTTGTTACTAAACAATGTTTAGTAAATTCATTTTCTGGGATTCTGCAGTTGCTATTTCAAGTGATAGGTGATGTTGAAAGGGAAGTTCTAGTTGAAAATTCAGTTAAAAGTTTCCGTGTAGAACTCTACTTGTTGTCAGTTCAACAGTCCAAACCAACCTCTCAGTTTAAGGCTGATATTGTCTAACAATAAATAATTTCTATGACTAAGATACTTAGTTTCACTGAAAATGAAACACATTTTCAGATTCCTTCAGTTATCTTTAACGTTAAAATAGTTACTCAATTTAGGTGTTTGCTTATCTTATGAAGCTTCAAAAGTTGCATTATGATCACAAAATGACAGTTAAAGACCTGTGAAGGGTCTTTTTTTGGTTTGTCTGTTCTTTTGAGTCATGCACAGAAAACACAACCCCCTGCTTTGAATATCGGGTAATAACTTGACCACGTACCAGGAAAACTTGTACTGGTAAAGCATGCATATTAAGCATTAGCTTTTGTTGATTCATGTTTCTCTAGATAGAGCATAGATATTAAAGCCAGTTTTCTTTCTACCTCTCTCATTTCTCAAATAATTTTGTTTGACCTGCAGTTAAACAAAAATTTCTATCAATTGTCTTCTTAGCAAAAGCATATATGTTCTCCTTGGTGACATGGTGTTGTTTCAGTTCAGTGTAAATACAGGAGTTTTCTATGCTTCCAGTGACATTTAGCTAATTATATTTGAATGCATTTTTTTTCATATTTATAGTCTGAACAACAACTAGACTTAGCAAATTCACAAAGCTTTTAATTCTGCATTACATCTACAGTCTAAAAACTGTTCTCACTAGGAGATAAAAAGCTAACCTTTTCTTACTGTTTCCAGAAATTATTAAGCACTTAAGTCATAATATTATTCACTCATAGTAATTACTTTCAGTCTTTCTTGGATCCTAGAAAAGGAATCTTAACTCAGATAACTTCCCATATGTAGAAGACCTAAAACAGAAACTAAAAGTTTGGTTCGGGAATAAGAAAAAAAACAAAACAAAACAAAAACAAAAACAAAAAACCCAGAGTCACTAAAGTTTACCTCTTTTACTTTTTACTTTGTAAAATAGCGAATTCTGAGTTTTGCCTAAACTTTTTGTGTTTTTATATTTTGATTAGTCTATGTGAGTTGGTAGTCATTTTTGTTTTGAAATCACTTTTACTATTTTTACTGCTTCAATTGAAAAAAATACTGGCGAGCCTATAACAACATTGGAAAAACACGTAATTAAAATCTGCATTTAGTAATTATTTATCTTATTAAGCATTAGTTTCTTCTAAGAGTTAGACAACATGATGTCTTTCAAAACTTTGCTTAACTCTTATAGTTCCCCTTTTAAATCATTTTTCCCTAAGAGTAAATAAAGTAAAGAGATATAATTATACTCAGGAACTTTTTTTTTTTTTTTTGAGACAGAGTCTCACTCTGCCGCCCAGGCTGGAGTGCAGTGGCGCGATCTCGGCTCGCTGCAAGCTCCGCCTCCAGGGTTCACGCCATTCTCCTGGCTCAGCCTCCCGAGTAGCTGGGACTACAGGCGCCCATCACTACGCCCGGCTAATTTTTTTTGTATTTTTAGTACAGTCGGGGTTTCACTGTGTTAGCCAGGATGGTCTCGATCTCCTGACCTAGTGATCTGCCCGCCTCAGCCTCCCAAAGTGCTGGGATTACAGGCGTGAGCCACCGCGCCTGGCTATACTCAGGAACTTAAAAGACATGTTTTACATTATTTTTGCAACTAACTTGTCTGTAACACAGCAAAGGTGCTGTTATTGGAAAGTCCCTTTTGATGTTAGTTGACTAGCATGTAAGTGTTAACTTTTTTGACCAAATAAGATAGATTTTCCCGTTTGGATTTCCAAGCTACAGAGTCTTTTTTCACACCAGGACCACTAATCTACTCGCTGTAAGCTTGCAAACATGTCACTTCTTAGTAGTGTATATCTTCAAATAGCTCTACAGCAACCCATTTAAATTATATTCAAAGAAAAACGATAACACCATCTAGCTTGATGATTTAACCACATCCGTGTAGTCTCTATTTTAGAGCCAGCCTTGTCATTTACACAGGAAATGAGAAATTTCTGTTGAAGTACAGGTGTCAGATATTAATTATTCACCAGACAAATAAGTGGTACTCAATAAATATATACAAAAGTCTCTGCATATTGACACTTTTGGTGCTAGTTGTTAACTTTTGTGAAAAATCATTAAGTGCTTGACATAAACACTTTTGCAGTTTCTATAATACATAAGCCCTAAGGTTTCTTATTTAAAATATAATTACCTTCTTATATAACCTGGACTTTGCTAAGCTAAACTGTTATGGTGTGTCAGTGGTATTTCTATCAAATTTTGTGATTTCATTTGTAGAGTATTATATAGGCTTTCCTGTACAAACTCTACTGCTTTTAACCTGATATTCAGAATATTTGGGAAAAAATCATAAAATTATTTTTTCAACTAGCTGATGGACATATTTCTTGTTTATAAAATCAGAGCAGAGTTTTTCAATCACTTGGTTTTCTAATTAGAACAAATATTAAACTGGAACCTATTTAGAGCAAATACAAATAAAGACAACAAAAGAAAAGATATGAGTTACTTTCCTCCCTTCTTTGCTAATCATGCTTATGCCTTCTGAGTTAGAGAATTACTCTTTTGATGGAGTCAAGGGATGAGGTTATATTCTGCTCTCAGTAATAAAATTTACTAATTGTAATGAACTTAAAAAGTAAAAGCACTAGAGGAAACAATGTGTCCATCATATCTTAAATGTTAAAATAATGCCATTATTGTTATTACTTTGAAAATATAAGCTTGCACTAATAGCACTTTAGTAAATAATATCCAATTTCCAACCTAGGTGTAGAGTTTTCTTAAATTGTTTCTTGCTGTTATTATGTTGTATATTCCCTATTATGTTGGATACCCCTAGAATCAAACAATTCCAGACTTTTGTAGACCAGGTTCATAATTTGAGCTAAACACAACCCCCTGCTTTGAATATCAGGTAATAACTTGACCACATAGTAGGAAAACTTGTACTGGTAAAGCATGCATATTAAGCATTAGATTTTGTTGATTCATGTTTCTCTAGAGCTGAGATGTTAAAGCCATATATATATATGTGTGTGTGTGTGTATATATATGTATATGTATATATACACATATGTGTGTGTGTGTGTGTGTATATATATATACACTTTTTTTTCCTTAAAACCTACTAGGGTCCCGGACTCTTCCCTTCTTGTTAGTTCCAGGTATAAATAACCTCATCCAGTGATTTCTTCTGCTCACTGTTCTTAAGCCTTCGAACTCTCCTCTAAGTACTCTGACCTATCCTTCCCTCCTCTCAATTTAATGGCAGCTACCCTTAAGTCATTTGAATCTATGGACTTATATGGGAAGGCAATATCCCTTTTGCTGCCGGGATGGCTCCAATTTATAGTGGTATCTCTTGCTGATTGGGGTTACAGAAACATTTAAAAGGTCCCAATCAATAGACTCTCACACAGTTCAGATTACAGGCACTGCTAGATATGTATTCTCTTTTATCTCAGCCTGCAAGTTAGTTGGCTATTTTGTGCCTGACTTCACCTCTTTTAGTGCCTTGCTAAAAGGAGAAACTAACATAAACCAACATACAGACACATTTTAAACAATTATCTAAGAACAACATATTCATTAGATGTATGGCACAACTTCCCAATTATTGCAGACAGCATTTGTATCAGGTGCTTTTCTATATCATGCCAAGGATCATCAGTTCTCCAGCCAGCCATATATATGTATAGTATAATAATTATACATATATAGGATGTATATATATGTGGGTATATATATTAAAAAAATCATTTTCCATCATCTACCTAAGCATATGCATATATTTATGTTCATGTAGCTCTCAATCTATTATCAATTTATATATTAGGTATGGGTTGGCTAAGTATCGACCAAAAAAGTAACTTTAAAATTTAGTGGCCAAACAAGTAGGAAATTTCTTTATTTCTCACATAAACTCACATGATCCACTCATATCCTATTTAATTAAGAAAACTAACTTGCATGACCCAGCTGAGCTCTACTTGGGTTTTGAGACTTGATGAGCATCCATGTGACCAGGTAAAACTTAGAAGGTTCAAATATTAGAAGGAAAAAGAGAAGAAAGGAAACTAAGGAACAATTAGCTACCTCTGCCACACACAGTCCAATGTTCTATCTATTCATTTTGTCTTTGAAGTATCCATCTTACTTCCTGGACTCTTGATCTTAGAGAAAAAGTTGCATATATATTTATTGCTATAGTTTTAATTCTTCTTTAGATAATTATAATATACATATCATATGTATAAATGTATATAAGTTTGAGAAGTTCATTCCTTTTAATAGCATTAACTGTGACACAGTCAAAAACAATCTCAAATTATTTCTCTCCACCTTAACTAGATGATATTAAACAACATTTATGACTATCAAAATAGGCTGAAGCTAGCAGAATAACTATTCAAAGTCAAGTCATGGCAACTGTGTTCTACTTAATATACCAATTTTTCTATATATTTTGATAATTGGAGTACTTTTTATAACTCCACAAATAGATGTATATACTATATCTATGTACACAGTCATGAAGAATCTGTGCAAATGATTTTTAAAATTTTATTTCTTATAGAATTGACTTAATTCATTGGTTTAATCACCACCTAAGATTCATAGCTTACCGATTTGGTAATCTAAGATTAATAGTTTGCCAATTTGTATTTTTTCTTATGTTACTTTTTAAATGACACCACCAGTTCTTGGATATGCCGATGGTAATATAAAAACTTTGCTTGTATTTCAAACACAGGAAGAACATACTTCGTTTCTTAGATGCAGAACGAGATGTCTCAGTGGTCAAGAGCAGTTTTAAGCCTGGTGATGTCATACACTATGTGCTTGATAGGCGCCGGACACTAAATATTTCTCATGATCTACATAGCCTCCTACCTGAAGTTTCACCAATGAAGAATCGCAGGTTTAAGACCTGTGCTGTTGTTGGAAATTCTGGCATTCTGCTAGACAGTGAATGTGGAAAGGAGATTGACAGTCACAATTTTGTAATAAGGTGAGTTTTCTTCTGTTTTTTGAGATTGTAAGTTTTTCAAAGACATTTTACTTGGGGATGGAAAACTGTTAGAAAATTTTAAAGTACTACTAAAAGCTCAAACAAATATTTGTCTATGATATCCTTTTCTGTGTAACATTTAAATTACATTTACCCTGGAAGAGAATATTATAATTATTGCATAGTTGAAAGATAAAGTGATCTCGTCACAGCAACAAGATTCACACAGCTTTTTTTGGTGAGGGGAGAGGCAAATGGCAATTTTATTAAACTTAATATTCCACACAAACTTTTTTCTTAGTATCTCTTCTTCATATTCTATAGTTTTGTGTGATTGTATTTGGTGTATAAAGATTATCAATATTACTATGGAATGATGTAATAGATTTATGTTAATGTTACTTTTTATTAATAATTATCTAAGAGATAGTAAGAACATAGTTTAACAAGTTTATATTTGATATCCTGAGCCATATTTCTTTAATTTCTCTTTATATGTGATATTTGTATATGTTAGTATATTTGAGTTTTATAGTTTTCTTACATAATTAAGCATGCATGCTTGTTTTTCATTAATGGTTAAAAGACATTTGATGAATTGTGTGTTTGATTAATCTATTAACTGAAAAAACTCAACAGTAGAAATAGAATTATAATCACATCATAAATGTAAGCAGTTTTTAATGGTCAATTTTTATATCTGTACAGTTTTTTTGGATTGTTTTAGTTCCTTAGAAAAATTAGCTAAATGAATGAAACATGGATATTGAAATATGAAATAGTACAATTTAAAGATGGAAGAAAAGTATGCTGAGTTGACATGTTGAAAAACACAATCTCTTGAAGATATGCTGGAATACATTATTTTTGAATATTTTGAATATTTTTTGAATATTTTTGAAATAAAGTCTTAAAAGGAAAGATAACTAATTATGTATGTATTAAATCATAAATAGGCAACTACTTAAAAAAAAAAAGTCATGAAAAATCACACCCAAGCATTATCAAGTGAAGAAAATGCATAACAGCAAATAAAACTGCAAACATTTTTCCTTATTTTCCCTTTTCTCTCTTGGGTGCAGGGTCAGAGATTAATGTGAAATCAATTTGGCCTTTTAAAACTTGAACTCTTACACTAATTAGACTATGAGAGAAACCTTGTGAACAAGTAGATATAAACAAAGACAATTGTATAGAAAGAGGATGTAAAAAATTTGATGAGGGAATGGCAATGGAAGTGGAAATCAGGAGCTTCAAATGTTGAAGTCTATGCAAAGTATACCTGTGAAAAAATGTAAGGCCTCTAGAATTTCTGATGTGACTAAATCATAAGGCAGGTAAAATAAAGAAGTAACGATGTCAAGGCATAATCAAAATTGTTGCAATGTAAGGATTTCAGCAATCACAACAGGGAATTTTGAAAGGTGATAATACTGAAGGAAAATAGAGTCTAAATGACTTCTTATTTCTGCATCCCTCTAAACTTTGACACTGGGGGCCAAGTTGTTAGATTTAGCCCCAGCTGTGACTCCGAAATGAAGACTGCTTTTACATGTGGGTAATGTTAGAGGCCTGATGACAGTAGTCCCCAAAGTTTACTTCATTTCCTTATTGCTTCCTGATCTGGCTTTGTTACTCCAGTTTCTATTGACTGGGATTTTGCATTATTCCAGTTCCTAAACTACTGAGTTCTTATCTCATGTGGAATTGTGTGTCCAATAAATAGGTTCCTACACTCTTTCTCTGTCTTAAGAGTGGCTGGTGACCAACCTTGCTTTATACTACCACCTTTCATTTTCACTTTTCCTGCCTTCAATTTTCTAGAAGTTATACAGCCTGCACTATATCTCACTTCCCTGTAATTGGCTATGGCAAGCCTATAGGTTTCCAGATTTCTGGGATGTGGTCAACCTGTGAATAAAATTCTGATCTCAAAAAATCTTTCTGTCCACCCCTCTTATTCTAAAATTGAAGACTATTTTCTCTTTCACTGGCCAAGCAACAACTGGCCACTTGATAGTATTGCTTTCACAATTCTACTATGGACTACTGGGCATTTAGATCACTACTAAGCTACTCTGGTGCTACTTCAGCAAAATGCCTAGAACTTGATATTGTACATATACTTTCTCTTCCTTTTATGTTTTAGGCACATAATTTCATGCCTACTTTTTAGACTTAAAACCCTATAATCTGCCGTATATTAATGCACTCCAACTTCAATTTGGAATATTCTTTGATCATTCCTATAGTAACCCAACTCCAGTGATGTTCAGTAAACTGGTTTAACTGTTTTTACCCCATATTCTGTGACTCCTAGATTCTTTATCTACCTTATTACTAACTATCAGATGAATTTGAATGTCTGTTCTTAGTTTCTTGTCCTCTATTGTCAATCAACAGATCTACTTTTCTAGCAGAATATCATTAGCACTTCCTTAAGTGGTCCGTTTTCATGCTGTTTATAAGGGCATACCTGAGACTGGGAAGAAAAAGAGGTTGAATTGGACTTACAGTTCCACATGGCTGGGAGGCTTCAGAATCATGGTGGGAGGTAAAAGGCACTTCTTACATGGCAGCAGCAAGAGAAAATGAGGGAGATGCAAAAGCAGAAACCCATGATAAATCCATCAGATCTCGTAAGACTTGTTCACTACCATGAGAACAGTATGGGGAAAATTGTCCCCATTATTCAAATTATCTCCCACCAGTCTCTCCTACAATACATGGGGATTAAGGGAGTACAATTTGAGATGAGATTTAGGTGGGGACACAGCCAAACCATATCATTCCACCCCAGCCCCTCCAAATCTCATGTCCTCACATTTCAAAACCAGTCATGCCTTCCCAACAGTACCTCAAAGTCTTGACTCATTTCAGAATTAACCCAAGAGTCCACAGTCCAAAGTTCCATCTGAGACAAGGCAAGTCCCTTATGCCTATGAGCCTGTAAAATCAAAAGCAAACTAGTTCCTAGATACGATGGGAGTACAGTTATTGAGTAAATACAGCCATTCTAAATGGGAGAAATTGGCCAAAGCAAAAAGGTTACAGGTCCCATGCCAGTCCAAAATCCAGTGGGGCAGTCAAATTTTAAAGCTCCAAAATGATCTCTTTTGATGCCAGGTCTCACGTCTAGGTCACGCTGATGCAAGAGAGGGTTTCCCATGGTCTTGGGCAGCTCAGTCCCTGTGACTTTGCAGGATATACCTTCCCATCTAGTTTCTTTCACGTGCTAGCATTGAGTGCAGTTTTTCCAGGCAAAGGGTGCAAGCTGTCTGTGGATCTACCATTCTGGGGTCTGAAGGATGGTGGCCCTCTTCTCACAGCTCTGCTAGGCAGTGCCCCAGTAGCGATTGTGTAGGGGGGTGCTCCAGCCTCACATTTCCCTTTCACACTGCCCTTGCAGAGGTTATCTATGAGCACCCCGTCCCTGCAGCAAACTTCTGCCTAGGCATCTAGGCATTTCCATACATTTTCAGAAATCTAGGCCCAGGTTCCCAAACCCGAATTCTTCAGTTCTGTGCACTCACAGGCTCAACACCAAACGGGAGCTGCAAAGGCTTGGGGCTTACACCCTCTGAAGCCACAGCCTGAGCTCTACATTGGCCCCTTTCAGCCATGGCTGGAGCAGCTGGGATGCAGTGCACCAACTCCCTAGGCTGCGTACAGGGATCCTAGGCCCAGCCCATGATACCATTTTCTCCTAGGTCTCCAGGTCTGTGATGGGAGGGGCTGCTGTGAAGACCTCTGACATGCCTTGGAGACATTTTCCCCATTGTCTTAGGGATTAACATTCGGCTCCTCATTACTTATGAAAAACTCTGCAACCAGCTTGAATTTCTCCCCAGAAAATGGGTTTTTCTTTTCCATCACATTGTCAGGCTGCAAATTTTCCTAACTTTTATTTTATTCAGTTTCCCTTATAAAACTGAGTGCCTTTAACACCACCCAAGTCACCTCTTGAATGCTTTACTGCTTAGAAATTTCTTCTGCCAGATACCCTAAATCATTTCTCTCAAGTTCAAAGTTCCACGAATCTCTAGGGCAAGGGCAAAATGCCACCAGTCTTTTTGCTAAGACATAAAAAGAGTCACCTTTGCTCCAGTTCCCAACAAGTTCCTCATCTCCATCTGAGACCACCTCAGCCTGGACTTTATTATCCATATTGCTATCAGGCTTTTTGTCAATGCCATTCCACAAGTCTCTAGGAAGTTTCAAACTTTCCCACATTTTCCTGTCTTGTTCTGAGCCCTCCAGACTGTTCCAACCTCTGCCTGTTACACAGTTCCAAAGTAGCTTTCACATTTTGGGGTATTTTTTTCAGAAACACCTCACTCTACTGGTACTAATTTACTGTATTAGTTTGTATTCATGCTGCTGATAAAGACATACCTGAGACTGGGAAGAAAAAGAGGTCTAATTGGACTTACAATTCCACATGGCTGGAGAGACCTCAGAATCATGGCGGGAGGTGGAGGTAAAAGGCCCTTCTTACATGATGGCGGCAAGAAAAACTGGGGAAGATGCAAAAGCAGAAACCCCTGATAAAACCATCAGATCTCATGAGACTTGCTCACTACCATGAGAACATTGTGGGTGGAACCATCCCCATGATTCAAATTATCTACCACCAGGACCCTCCAACAATACATGGGAATTATGGGACTACTATTCAAGATGAGATTTGGGTGGGGACCCAGCTAAACTATATCAAGTGAGAACCTCATGGGGTCAACAGCTGTATTTTGACCTTATACTTTTTCTGCGTGCAATGTGTGCTTTACTTTCTTTCAAATTTCATGAGTATTATAAAATATATATACATCCAAACTTTAAAAGGTAAAATTCCTTGCCTAGATTACTAGTAATATTAACTAGTGTGAAAAAAATTCTTTTAAAGCTTTGAGAATAATGTTGAAATAGTTAACAAACTAGAATTTTCTCTTATTGGTAGTTTCCAGGCACTTTCTCTTCCCAGAGAACAGATGACCTCAGAT